TCATTGAAAATTTCCTAGGCCATCTCCACAGATATGTTGCACATTAATGCAACCAATCAACAAGGGTATACATGCTATACATACATAATCCTCAATTAATAATTTACTATCATAATTTAGAACCTAAACTATTTAAAAATCATAATAAATTCACCTTAGGGAATAGTAGATTCCTCATGGACACAAAGGACCTGGGCATTTCACATCACCAATTTTGTGTTTTTTTTAAAAATCTAATTCTAAAGCTGCCCGGCTTTTTGTGTGAAAACAAACTCTTCCAATCTGTCAGTTTGACCTTCCCCAGAATGACTTTTGTATTAGTTTCAGGTGTACAGCATAGTGGTTAAACAATCACATACTTTACAACAGTGGTTCTCAACCTTGGCTGCACATTAGAATCACCTGGGAATCTTTTTAAAATCCTGATTTCTGGGTCTCATCCTCCGGAAATTCTGTTTCTTTGTTACTAAGGTTGTGGCCTCACCCCATAACAAAGAAACAGAACCACCTCTTTACAAAGTGTTCGACCCCATATTTTAAGGACCCACCTGGCACCATACATAGTTATTAACATATTATTGACTCTATCCCCTATGCTGTATTTTACATTCCATGACTATTTTGTGACCACAAGTGCCTACTCAGAGAAAGGCATTGTGCTATCCCGCAATGGGCTTGTCAAGGAGAAGGCACGTCCTGTTGTAACTCCACAGCTGAGGGGCCTTTAAGAACCCTTAGGGCTCTGCGCCGCACTCTTTGGAAACCGCTGAACTGAGTTTGCTCTGAGTTCCTTTCTAGATTTAAAATTCTCTGATTATACGGCCGATTAATCCTGCTCTTATATGATTCACCTCGTATCCAAAAGAATTATAGCAAAATATAAAGGTGTATTAAGCAAACACATTTGATTCGTCAGTTTTCATACTTTCCGTATCAGAATGTTAGCAGGTCCGATGACATCACCTCTGAAGCCTATCCAGACTCCCCCCTTTTCTCCACCCTCACTAGTCCCTCTCTAACCCGAGCTTGCCGCGCTGCAAAACCAAACACACGTGAGCACCAACAACATGCCAAGGTCCTAAGGATCCTCTCTGCAACTCTACAAAGTGAGCATTATCATAGCTTCCATCTTACAATGAGACAAAGAGGCACAGAGAGGCTCAACTACTTGCCACAGGACGCAGTGCTAATACATGAAAACAACATGATTCAAACAGGCTCCAGGGTCTATGCCAGCCGTGGGCAAACTACGGCCCGCGGGCCGGATCAGGCCCATAAATGAATAAAGGTTTCAGATCCCTCTAGTGCAGCCGTGGGCAAACTACAGCCCGCGGGCCGGATCCGGCCTGTTTGAAATGAATAAAACTAAAAAAAAAAAGACCGTACCCTTTTATGTAATGATGTTTACTTTGAATTTATATTAGTTCACACAAACACTGCATCCATGCTTTTGTTCCGGCCCTCCGGTCCAGTTTAAGAACCCACTGTGGCCCTCGAGTCAAAAAGTTTGCCCACCCCTGGCTATGCTCTCATCTCCCAGGCCACAGAAACCCGCCTAGCCTCCTACCTGTTCTCCCTGCTTCTACTCTTGGCCAGAGTGGCCTTCGAAAGTGTAAATAAGGTCATGTTATTTCTCTTCTTAAAATTAGCCAGTGGTTGCCCGTTCCACAGAGAATAAAACTGTATGGTTTTCATTCCGAGGCTTAAAAGCTTCACCGGATATGTCCTTGCCTCCTTCCTTGTCAGTCCTTTACACCACAGTGTGTGGACGAAAAGGGGCGACATGCTAACCTGACTAACTCAGGAAAGGCCTGAAAGGCTTGCGCGGCGGCCTTGCAAACTCAAGAGACCACAAAGGATGGTCTGAAATTAAAACCTTTAATTAAAAAGGAGCCTGTTGTCTTTTTGCATCTAAGATAACATACCTGTGGGATGTCATGGCAACTTGTAACTTCTCCTTTTCCGGTCCCCTCAAGGCACAGCCCTGGCGCCCTGGCGAGACCACAGATTCCCTCTTTGTTATTGTTATCCTGCTAATTGTTGACTGTTAGCTTTCCCATACCCACCTGTGTGAAAGAAGCACGTGTCTATCATTTTGCTTTTTATCCAATCCCAAGGTTTCCCCGCTTTGCTTTCTCCCACCTCCCTAATCTGTCACCAATGAATTTCTGTAACCCACTCCTCCTTTGATTGTAATGTATAAAACAAGATGAAAAACTGCCATTCTCAGGAACACTAACTATCTCAATACACTGGGATTCTGCTTCCCAGCAATTGTGTATAGTTTGGCTCAAACAAACTCGCAAAAATTCTCTACAGGTTTGAATGTCTTTTTACGTTAACAGTGTAAACTGCATGGGAACAGAGATCTTGTTGGTCTTATTTATTGCCATATGCCCAGCAGGTTAACATTACCTGTGCCATAGCTGTATTAAAAATACCAAGTAATCTACAAGAAGACCATTCAGATTGAAGGTAGGCATATAAGGACAAGAAACTATTTATTACCTGGGTCATCATTTTGCACTGACCCTTCTCCTGGAAACCTTAAGCTCCAACATACTGGGACAAGTGCCTTGTCATTTCTGTGTTTGCCAAGCCTTAGGTACCTCTTTCCTTCACAGAAATACATTTACATCAGGCCCAGGAAATTCATCTGCTCATGTCTATGTTCATACTTTTACTATTCAATAAATATGTAGGAATGTTATTGAGGAATGGGGATTGACCACCCTGTCTTTCATCTCTTAAACTAGTCACTTTACAAATTCAATATTTGCTTAGAAAAAAACAGTGTTTGCATTGTCAGTGACTTTTTTTTTTTTTTTTTTTTTTTGGTAACGAAACCAAATCTATCACAATACAAAAAAAGAAGAATTTGATCTTCTTACTCTAGTGACTGATTCAACAAAGCAAGTATAATTTTTTTTCTTTTCAATTATCTTTTCCCACTTCTCTTGGTGGGTCTTTCTATATACTCTAAATATTTAAGTTAAACGTGTTTTATAATCCCAGAAAAAAACATGTGAATAGCACTCCAGTGAGATTTTCACATATTCTGTCTCATTTTTAAAATGTAGGCACAGGTCTTTGAATGGATAATGTAAGATTCCATCATCTGTTCCTTATCTTTTTCCTGATGTGGCCTTTCCTGCTCTGAGCTCAGATTCCTTTATTTTCCCGCTTGAATAGGGAATAGTTCTCCGACTGTGATAATGATTTTAGGAGTTGTGATATATATTAGAGAATTCTCTGTGGCTTTATAATGTACTTTGGATCAGTCAGGTTTGCCTCTCTTCCAGGAGGTTAGTCTGCTTTCCTTGTGTGATGGTCTCAAAAAAAAAAAAAAAAAAAGTCACTGACAATGCAAACACTTTTTTTTTTTTTAAAGTTACATGGCATTATTTCCTTTGCATTCCTTTGGTCAAAGCATGTCAGAACTGAATGCAAAGGTGACTGGGGAGGTGGACTCCACCTCCTGGGATGAGAAGCAAAAGTTATATTGCAAAAGGGAGTGCACCCTGTGATGGCACGAATTCATAGCCACACCATTCAATTTACCACCTTCATTTGCCTTTGCACAAATTTCAAGTCAAATAGTTCCTTTCTCTGTTGAATTACCAGAGAAAAAAAACAACCCTCTAAAATCTACTGAATTTTATAGATTTGGGAAAAACTGAAGTGTTTTTGTTAATGTATTATCTATGTACCAGAAGTCCAGCTATATTTTGATTATATAGTCTACCAATCCCTAGAGTTCCTACTTTCAATGTTGTGCAGTCACAATATTATTATCACCTACCAGTTGGACAAGAGTCTGAATTATAGTTGGGTAATGGATGAGGAACTCTTTAGGATTTGTTCACATAAAATAACAAAACTTTTAAGTTGCTCTAGCCAGTTTGGCTCAGTGGATAGAGCGTCGGCCTAAGGACTGAAGGGTCCCAGGTTCAATTCCGGTCAAGGGCACATACCTCGGTTGCAGGCTCCAGGGCGAGTGCAGGAGGCAACCAACCGATGTTTCTCTCACATCCATATTTCTTTCCCTCTTTCCCTCTCTCTTCCACTCTCTCTAAAAATCAATGGAAAAATGCCCTCAGGTGAGGATTAAAACAAACAAACAAACAAACAAACAAAAAACCCATTTAAGTTAATTTTTCTGTATGGTATCCTATATAATAAGAGAGGAATATGCTAATTTCCATTACGCCTTAACATGACAACCAATCTACAAGGGGTGGAGAGCTAGAGGAGGGTGGGGCAGTGAGCTATGAGCAGCAGAGAGCTACCAGCGACGGTGGGTGGGTGGCCAGCTGAGGCAAGCTGCAGCAAGCTACTCGCTCATGGATTCGTGTGCAGGGCTACTAGTAAGACAATAATTGAGTTTCATTCTTTTGCACATGGCTTTTCTGTTTCCCTAATACCATTTATTGAAGAGGCCATCCTTTACCCATGTTATATTCTTTGCTCCATTGTTAAAAATTGATTGACCATATAGGGGCAGGTTTACTTCTGGGCTCTCTATTCTGTTCCATTGATCTACAGGTTTGTTTTTATGCCAGTACCATACTGTTTTAATTACCATAGTTGTGCAATGTAGTTTGAAATCAGCATGTGTGATTCCTGCGGCTTTGTTCTTCTTTCTCAGATTGCTTTGGCTGTTCGTTTTTATTGTTGTTGGGGTTTTTGTTTGTTTATTTGTGTGGTTTTTGTGTGTGTGTGTTTCCCTACAATTTTTAGAGTACTTGTCCTATTTCTTTAAAAAATGATATTGGAATTTTAATAGGGATTTCATTAAATCTGTAGATTGCTTTGGGTAGTATAGACATTTTAACAATATTGATTCTTCAAATCCTTGAGTATAGAATATATTTCCATTTATTTATGTCTTCTTCAGTTTCATTCATTAATGTCTTGGTTTTCAATATACTGGCCTTTTACCCACTTGGTTAAATTTATTTCTAGGTATTTTATTCTTTTTGATGTAACTGTAAATGAGATTGTTCTTTTTATTTCCACAGCTTCTTAATGCCTAGAAAAAAAGCAACATTACTTGGTATTAAAGTCATTTTCTATTCCAAAGTAACTGTAAACAACTTGAATCATCATAACAGATGGATACTAAAATGAAAGGCTTTCCAGACCTTGAAAGTACTTCTTGGGTGGCAGCCACACCTCTGGTTATCGCCTAGGGCACGCACGAGAGGCTGCGCCAAGGCACCTGAATTTTGATGCATATTGTGCAGGCTCTATAGCTTGTCCCTTGCTGCAGCGGCCTGGAATATTAAAAACAAACAAACTTAAAACTTTTTTTCCAATATTCTTCTTTCTTGCAAATAGAGTCTATGTCTATACAGTGGGAAAACTGATATATAAGGGCGAGGAGAAATTTCATATTTTTCTTTTTCTAATACTTCATTCATTTTCTTGTTATAAACACAACATATACTCATGTTCTCATTATAGGGATTTGGAAAATATATACCGATACAGATAAGGAGAAAAACAGCAATCCTCATTTAATTCTATCACTCAAAGGCAAACTGCTTTATTTTCTATTCCTGCTTTATCTCATATGCTTTCTCCAGCTACTGACCTATTTGTTTCCCTTTACAGAAAATGTCCTCAAAAGAAATGTTCTTTTTGTCTGTTAATCATCAATTCTTGTTCTCTCATGAGCTCATTCCAGTCTTGTTTACACCGCACCCTCAACTGCTGGCATTCAGGTCACAAATGCACTCCTGGCTTCTAAATCCAGTGACCAGTGCCCAGGGAGGATTTGACAAATTTGTTGACTACTTCCTGCCACTGTTTTTATTTGGATCTCAGGACTTCAATCTTTGGTCCCCTCCCACTTGTCCAGCTACTGCTTCACAGTCTTCTTACTGTTTATTGCTTCCTCATCTTTCCCACCTGCAAACAACAGGACAGCTCAAGGTTCACCTCATCCCTTGTGTGACCTCATCTAGCCACATGGCTCTGAAGATCCAACATCTTCAGCTCTGACTGCTTCTCTGAACACTACACTCATATTTCCTGTTGGCTATCCTTTTCCATCCTTTTATTTCTTTAATTTTCAACCTATTTGTACCTTTACAGTTAGCATGCTTCATGTAGTTCAGCATTGCTTTTTTTATTTATCCAATCTGACATTTGCCTTTGCATTGGCTTGTTTAGATCATTTCAATTTATGTAATTATTGATATAGGTATGATTATACCTAAGAGTATGCTATTTATTTTCTATTTGTTCCATGTATTCTTTTCTCAGTTTTCCCTTACTTCTCTTTATTACAGATTAAATATTGTGATTTTTATGATTTCTATTTCTTTTTTTGGGGGGGGGCGGTATTAGCTAAGTCATTGTATTATTATTTTAGTAACATATTGTTAATTTGGGGGTAATTGTTTATGGATAAAATGTAACAAAGGCATATATGTTTTAGTAGATTTCCTAATATAAATATATAGAATTTGGCCATTTTTTTTATAAAATAAAAATTAGGACAAGCATATGTTTATAAAAACTAACAGAACAGAAAATAATAAAATAAAAAGTAAAATTTTATTTTCATTGTTTTAATATCTGATGAGGCCCTTTCCCAAAGTTAAGCATTATTACTGCTTTTGCACACCTTTTATGTATTTGCTGAAAGTTTTGGTATACAGTTTTATTTCACCACTAGAGGCCCGATGCACGAAATTCACACAAGAGTATGCCTTCGTTCCTCCACCTGCCAGCAACAGTTTCCCTCTGGCACCTGGGACCCAAGCTTCCCTCGCAGCCCCAGCTTCGTCTGGAAGGTCACCTAGAAGGACGTCTGGTCTAATTAGCATATTATGCTTTTAATATATAGATATTTTTTAACCTAGTTTCTTGGAGTAGAGCATAGTTTTGCTTTATGATTAAACATGTGTGTGTAGCTTATTCTATATTCAGTATTATTTATTATTTTGGGGGTAACTTATTATCAAATGGATAGTTTTGATATTGCATTATATTTTTATGTTAAACTGTTAAATGCAAACATTTCAATTATACTCCAACTTCTTTAGCTTTGTTTTGAGATTTCTCTATTTAATTTTTAATAAATTGTGAACATAAAAATCTAAGTGGCCTGATTCTTTCCTGACTTGAGGGTCTGTGTTTGGAGTATGTGTCATAAGTATTAAAGCTAATAATACATAATACCTCAATTAAAGAGTTTAGATTGGGCCTCACAATTCTACCAGCTGAGACCATATTTTGAGTTTGTTTTTCTTCTACTGATATGCACGTGTACATATGGTAGGGCTGAGATAATGGGATTCTTTTCAACTTAGGCTGCCTGTAGTTAGGCACGTGAACTAAACACCTCTGTATAATTTGCCTTCTTTAGTAGCGTTTACATAGGGGATGTGTTTTGATTTGCTTTTGTGTATCAAATACTATGTTATCTGGGCCAAAAAACATGTCACTGTTAGAATTAGACACTGTAAGCACAGCTGATTTTTTAGGACTACTTTGGGCATCTGCAGAATTCTGATGACTATCCACCAGGCATTTCATCTCTTCATTGCCCAAATTGAGACACTTTCTATCTTAAGCCTAACTTTTATAAAAAGTATATCTTGTTTCCTACTGATGAAATAAATACCAAAAAATAAAATAAGACTAGGAGATATGTCTAATGAAAATCTTTATATTTATAAAATGTATATATAATTTTAAAATTAATTTAAGCCAATATCCACCCATGTATAATTGGTCCAGATCCATCATTTTAAATTTGATCAGAAATTGTTATTTATTTCTGAAGAATTATATATGGTTGAATATTTTTCTTATTGTTACAAAAAAAAGATGTATGGAATAAATTGTATGTTGAGATTAAGACATAATGAGGGGAATTAATACCTGATTTAAACTTGTACTAGAGAAATTGAATCTAAAATGAAAAGTGATAATTTTGGCTAAATTTTAGGCATAATCCATAAAGATACTTTCTAAAAGTTCTTTCAGATGTTATAGAGTTTCTCCTATTTTTTAGGCAATATATTAGTTATTTTGAGAAACTTGCTCATTTTATACTTTTAGCACTTCTATATTAGTGTTATTAATTCCATTTCACAAAATACAGGGCTGACAGGGTGAGTCATACAGCTGGGAAGGTTGAAAGGCCTAGAGTGTAACCAGTTCTGCCTGAGGGGAGAGGCCTACGCTTTCCCTAGACTCTAGAGCAGTGGTTCTCAACCTGTGGGTCGCGACCCCTTTGGCGGTCGAATGACCCTTTCACAGGGGTCGCCTAAGAACATCCTGCATATCAGATATTTACATTATGATTCATAACAGTAGCAACATTACAGTTATGAAGTAGCAACGAAAATAATTTTATGGTTGGGTCACAACATGAGGAACTGTATTTAAAGGGCCAGAAGGTTGAGAACCACTGCCACCACAAATTACTCATCTTGATATGCAGCCCACTTGCTCTTCCCACAATTCCTAGCAGTTAGTGACTGGAAAAGTTAGGAATGGCCATTTGCTAACTTTCGAATGACCAGACATCCATCAGAGGACTCAGTGTCATCTGTCCACTCACAAGGCCACACATCACCATCCAATCTTACCAGACCTTCCTGGGAAATGGATGAACGTTGGAAACACTGTTTTCCTTCCCCAGGCCAAACTCAAAGCTGTCTTCTTTTTTTTTTTTTTTTAATATAGTTTATTGGTTTTTTACAGAGAGGAAGGGAGAGGGATAGAGAGAAACATTGATGAGAGAGAAACATTGATCAGCTGCCTCCTACACACCTCCTACTGGGGATGTGCCCGCAACCAGGGTACATGCCCTTGACCGGAATCGAACCTGGGACCTTTCAGTTTGCAGGCCAATGCTCTATCCACTGAGCCAAACCGTCAGGGCTCAAAGCTGTCTTCTTAATTCAAAGAGTTAGTTGGATAATGGATGAAATGTTAATGGGTCACATCACCCAGATGGTTGCTGCTTCCTCCCCCCTTACTCCTCACACCTCCCCAGGCCTGCTGGGGAGAATGCCTGAACTTTGCACTTCCCAACGTGTTTTGAGGAACTAATATGTTTTACAAGAAAATTGGATCTGTGGTCAAAAGGTTCCGGAAGCAATCTGGTAAATAAAGTTTAGTAGGGTCGGGGTCTTTACTGTGTTATGTGCTGTATTAGTTTCTAAGGGAGAAAGTTAGTGTGCAGGATGCCCTGGCTTTATCCGACCAAATTTAGCTGTTTCTTTTTATAGAGCCTTTAAGGAGACTAGTATCCTATGTAAGACACTTTCAACATTTTTTATTTAACCTAAAAAAGAGGTGGGAATTTCTTAGGCCCTTGTTATATCGGGGGTGGGGGGGGGGGGGGGATATTTTAGGAAGGTCCTCCCTTGGAATATTTGGGTTGATATCGAATTAGTTATATCTGTTCTTGAGGCTGCCCTATTTCTTTTTTAAAATTGTTATATATTTTTATTTATTTTATTTTGTTAATATTATTTTGGAATTACAGTTTACATTCAATATTACTTTCTGTTAGTTTCATGTGTACAGCATAGTGGGTAGAGTCCAGGGGTGGGCAAACTTTTTGACTCAAGGGCCACAATGGGTTCTTAAACTCTTTTTTAAAATTGTTATATATTTTTATTTATTTTATTTTGTTAATATTATTTTGGAATTACAGTTTACATTCAATATTACTTTCTGTTAGTTTCATGTGTACAGCATAGTTAGACAATCACATACTTTACAAAGTGTTCCCCCTGAAACACCCAGTACCCACCTGGCACCACACACAGTCATTACAACGTTATTGCCTATATTCCCTGTGCTGTACTTTACATCCCTGTGACTATTTTGTAACGACCAATTTGTACTTCTTCATCACTTCACAGTTTTCACCCAGCCCCCCCCCCAACACCCCTCCCCCCTGGCAAACATCAGTTTATTCTGTGCAACTATGAGTTTGTTTCTGTTTTGTTTGTTTGTTCACTTTGTTCTTTAGATTCCACATGTAAGTGAAATTATATGGCATTTATCTTTCTCTGACTGACTTATTTCACTTAGCATAATACCCTTTAGGGTCCATCCATACGATTGCAAATGGTAAGATTTCATTCTTTTTATGAGGCTGCCCCCATTTCAGATACTTTCTTTAGTATCAAACTGGGCTGCCCGTTCAGGGGAAACTTCAGTGCCTCTGGCTAAGAGGGGTAGGAAAGTAAGAACCAGAACCCGAACCTGAGAAGAGAGGCTGAACCCATGACTGAGGCTCAGAACGCAGGTGAGCCGATCTGGCATCATTGATGAACGCTGGCTCGTGTTTTTTGTCTTCTGGAAGGGCTCCATGGAAAAGGTGAGTCCTGGGCTCAGTGTGGAAGGAGGGGAGACTTTGGCAGAAACATGCTAAGAAATCCTCAGGCAGAGCAGGGAACTGAGAGGCTGGAAATGGTGAGTCATATCCTTAGACAATAGACAATTGATCTCTGCTTCCTCTCTGTCTAGGCATGTCTAATCGGGATTATTCTCCTTACAGAAGAAGGACAAGCATGGCAAACAGGAGGACATCACAACCTCCTAAATTGTTCCCCCTAACTCATTTGATATCCATGCAGACTTACTCCTAAGTGGGCACATTCATACCTTTAAAAATATTGCTGGTAGAACAACCATATTAGAATAAGTGAATATTTTTAAATTCAAAATTGGGTTCTTGAAAGTTAAAAAAAAAAATGATATCCAAGGGCAAGAGCCCAACCACCAGAGCCTTAGAAGCAGCCAAATGGAAGATGTCTTTTACCTCCATGCAAGGGGCTCTGTGGTTCCTAAAAAGCCAGGAGAAGGAACAAAGGGACAGGACTCCCTTGT